AAAACATTGCTGCCATGTGGTTGGATGATGTCATGATTCGGCTCAGTTGCCCGGATTAACCCACGGTAAACCCAGTCACATGACACTCCATCAACTATCGCAAACAGCTTCGCAAACCCGATCGAGAGGTGTGATTGTGGTAGTTCTGATGCGCGTCGCAACTACCCCTCTATGTTCTTGGCGCGTCACTACGCCCCTGCGTTCCTTGATTTCCCCTCAGTGTCGCATTTATCACATAGATACGCTCCTGACTATCAAATAGTATATAAGTAGAGTAGAATCTCCCTGTACAGTAGATTCTATCTCGTCTATTCTCCGGCCTTACCTTGGCCTGTTACTCTGGACTTGTACTTGCTTGAAGGCTCCTTCACTTCAGCTATCTCGTTGACTCGGGTTCTCCCTCGCTCCGCTCGTCATAACCCTTGTCTCCTATTCTCGGCCCCTATTCTGAACTCCTACTCTGACTCCTGTCTTCAGTCTCAGTACGGGCTCAGTCTACGACATCCTCGGTGGTGGTTATCCGGTTGCACCCAGGCCTCTAGCAGACCCTTGCAGAGTACCATTGTTGGGTCCGACTCTGCGGGCTTGATGCACGCTAGTCCTGGACGGTTCGGGTTCTTGTTATGAGACAACCACCACCCTTCACCACCCATCTCTCCTACGTCTCTCGATCTATGGAGCGTAGAGTTCGAAGGAACATCTGTCGAACATCCGGAGATCCATCATTCACTCGCCTGGAAATAATCCGCTCCTGTTCAACTCGCTATGCCCCTTCGGTAAACCCGGGTTAATCTGGGTTACTCCGGGTTAATCCCGTTGGGCCACTTGGAACTCTCACAGTTACTTGCCATGCCCCTATCCGGACTAGTTGAACCACATTACATGTGCTTGGTTCAACTATCGCTAGATGGATCTTCAGTCGCTGGCCACTCGCTGTGGCCATTCCTCTCAACACCTGGGCTAGGGCTTGCTGTGATGGTCGCAATCAGGCTGACCTAAGCACCGTCGCTGACAGATGAGATGGATAGCCACCCTCCAGAGAGTGATCTGAACACGGAAAGTTTAGAGGGTGAAGATGTTGATCAGGCATCACTCAAAGCAGCTTAGATCTTCTCAATGATCCTGAATTTAGTACCTGGTCCTTGGACATAAGAAGTTGAGTCATTATGGATGTATGGCATGCAATGGCTCGTGTGAGAGTATCAAAAGACCATGGGATGCGTAGACTGTTCGGCATTGCATTGCGTGATGCAATTTTTATTCCAAATCTCGAAGACAAAAAGCGGATAGAAGCCTATTTGAAGACCAAGAAGACTTCATGGGATGAGCAGTTGCGAGTTAATGCCCGATGGTTATGGCAGTGCTGTCGCTGAGTTGTACCACCTCCTCATGAGCTGTATGATGCAGTGAGCGAAGTCTATAAGCTATATGGTCCTCAGAAAGATGCAAAGACCAAACTGCCATTGTTCAATGCCCAAGCTTGGCATGATGCTAAAAATGTCCTAAAGGCGATTAAACTCGGACTTTTGTCTGACCCTCCTGGTGTTGACCTTTATACTCAAATGGGAACGGACAGAGCAGGCCTCCCCATTCTGCGCTGTTGTCGGGGAACAAATGACAATGAAGGTGCTATACACAAGAATTTCAGAGAGCAAATGCCCAAGTCTGGAACCTCAATAAGACATGCCACTGCTCGTGTGAAAGACTATGTGCTCATCCATAACCTCGTTGTTGGGACCCTCAATCGTACTGGACAGATGTATCAAGGCCATTATAATGTTGAAGTCCTAAATCGTCTTCAGGTTTCACTCGAGTCTGCACGGCATCTGGTCCCTAATGCTCTGATACTTAAAGGCTGGATCAATGGTGATCTATACATTCAGGGCAAAGAAAGGGTTGGTATCCTGCCACTGCCAGACTCAACCCGAGACTCTGCAGGAATTCTCCGCTATGTTGGAACCACAGATTCCAAGTGCAAGCATGCATACCTTGCAGAACAGTAGGGGACGAAATATGCTGTGATCACTGTACATTCAGTTGAGGAGAAGATTCATTTCACAAATATGATGCAAACTTTTGTTCCATTTCAACAATCACAGCCTGATTGGACACAAGGTGCTTTGCAGTGGAATAAGGATGCAAATGGCGAGACCATTTTTTACAAGGCATGTCTGCTTTTTTATATACAGAGTTAAAACCCAGATCCGAAAAATTTCTCACTTCCCCCGTGTTTTCTTATGGCATTAGAAATTCTGGCATTTAAGAGTGTTTGGATGTGACACCCTTACCTCGGAGTGTATGTACACATATTTTCGGATTTTTCCGGTGCGTCGTTGTGCAACGTGAGGTCAGTACTTCCGCGCGCCATTTTGGCTGTGGGACCTGGATGCGAAAAATCAGGTGACATACCATGGCAATTGCATCCCCACCCCCATCTGTGGCCCTGGAGAGATAGAGGCATTGCTAATGCTCCCTCATGTACAATGTTGGGTCTAGCAAAGGTGGTAGACGCTCATAACAATAATTCTTTGCTCACGACTTGTGGCACAGCCACAAATTTCCGTTTTTGGCATGTTTTCATTTTTTTTGTGCTAGCCAGCGAATGGAGTGGGACTTTTTGAGTAGATAGGATTGTTAATAGTTCTTTTAAGGTTACTCCAAAAGATTTCGGGTTAATTTTGTCAAAACTGGGCTTGTAATTCGCCATTTTTCGGATCCAGGTCTTTTTCGGATCTGGGTTTCAACTCTGTATTTATTTGCAACTTTTCTTACAACATATGGTAGCTCGAAGAACACTTGCGGTCATATCATCGTAAATGGCTCCGTAAAGCTAATGAAAAAAATACCATGAGTCAAATCTTGCCCCGTATACATGCTCTCCAGAATAAACTCCGAGATGATCACCGAGCTTTGGGTGCCCCCTCGGGTCCCCTTCTCCAATTACCTATAAATTCTGCACCTGTCACTGGACTTCAGCCCACAGCCCAGTTAGATACTGCTCTAGCAGAACCTCAGCCATATCATCCACCAGAATCTAATGTGTTGAGACAGCCAAATTTTCGCCCCTATCATCCTGTTGGAGCGGGTGAATTGCAACACTTGCCTACAGCTTTTGAGAATCCGCTGCCGACCTTCTCCCAGATTGACAGCCTCATCTAGTTTGTAAACAACTTCACTGATGATTCGCAAGGAAGCTATCCTCTGGACATCAATTACACTGGTGGTTCAACTACATGGACAGGCCCAGAAAATCACATTGGTGTGGAAAGCAAGAACCTAGGTCCATTGAGAGCTCCTGCAGACCTCACAGACTTGAAGCGACCGGCCCCCGATGTTTTTGTGACTGCAGAGCCACGCAAACGACGCAAAAAGATATGCCACAAATGTAGGGTTGCGGACTGCAAAGGAGGCACTCTGAAAAGTTGTTGTCAGAATCCTTGTGGAGATTGTGGCAAGCTCTCATGTGACGGAAGGAGTAGTTATCATCCAGATACACGGTGTGGAGGGTCTGAGGCTTGAGAGGCAGACAAAACATATTTCTAGCCTGAAGTATGTTCTTCGTTGTAATTCTATTGTTGTGACTCAACGATGCAGCCAGGCAGTGCAGGTCCTTTATAGAATACACATGTACATGCAATCTAAATATAACAAGTTGAATTATAATAAAATGACAAATATTAACCGCGAACGACCTCCAGCAATGGGCGGAACATATAATACTGAAGTGAATCACATGATGAATTATTACCATAAACAGTTGAGGCATCGTGGGATATTACCATAAAAAGTTGACCCAAATCGGGGTCAACCGAAAACGGTTGACCTCTTTTAGGAAATTTTGATCCCACAAACACCGTAACCGCGCTCAATGCGAATGAACGGAGGCTGGCGGATCAGATTCTGTGAGATAGGGGCGGATACGTCATTCATTCAAGCTCCGCCGGCAATCGCCGACGGCTTGCTTCTGACCTTCATGTCGCTTTTCTTCGAGTTTATCTCGAGTGCAACCTCCCGCGGATCTTCCACCAGGTATCAGGTACCAGGTTTCATGTATAACGGACCTTCCCCAGGACGTTCTTTTAGAGCTCGCGAAGCAGTTGGATGTTGCCGATCTCATCAGTCTCGCGGTAATTCGTCGTCTATGGCAGCTCTTCTCATGACGAAGTTTAGGAGTTGAACGTTGAGCTGACAAATGCAATCTGAATCTTTCGGCCACAGACTCGGCCCGACTTCAGGCAATTTACTCCTACCACCATGGCACTAAGGACGCCCTCCATTGCTCAGACCGTGCAGATTATGCTAGACGGCCTGGGATCCCCGGGCCCATGATCCACGATACAGGTTGAATGTTCTCAATGTTCAAGTCATGTTGCTTCATGGGCCGGCGAATGTCGCTCCTCTTTTTCTTTCTTTTCCCCTCATTCACTAGCTCTCTCTCACTCGCCTATCCAGGTATTTAAAACATAAGAAAGCCGTCGTGGACCATGGCGGTCATCCTCTACCCATGGCATTTCGGCGTACAGATACGGGGAAGTCGGAGGTTCGATTCCTCTCGACGGCAATACAAAGGTTCTCGCTCCTCTTTTTCTTTCTTTTCGTTCCGTTCCCGTTTTTCGCTCACCCAGCTATTCAGCAATTCAAATGCACAAGAAGGCCGTCGTGGACCATGGCGATCGCCCTCTGCCTATGGGTGGCGCAGGAAAATGCACCAAGAGGGACCCGGGGGTTCGATTCCTCTCGATGGCAATACAAAGGCTCTCGCTCCTTTCTCTCTCTTTTTAGTTCGCTTCCCAGTTTTCGCCCATCCACCTATCTCGGTATTTAAAGCATAAGAAAGCCATCGTGGACCATGGCGGTCATCCTTTACCTATAATATGGTTTTTGTGTATAGGGGGAACCAGAGGTTCGATTCCTCCCGACGGCATCAGGCTTCCAGCTAGTTTTTTTCCTCGTTCACCGGCTCTCTCACCCACCTATCGAGGTATCTATTGTATAAGAAAGCCGTCGTAGACCATGGCGGTCATCCCTTACCTATGGTACAGTATCTGTCTACAGGGGGAAGTCAGAGGTTCGATTCCTCTCGACGGCAATACAGAGGTTCTCGCTCCTCTTTTTCTTTTCTTTTCGTTCCGTCCCCGGTTTTCGCTCACCCAGCTATTCAGCAATTCAAATGCACAAGAAAGCCGTCGTGGACCATGGCGGTCATCCTCTGCCTATGAGTGGCGTTGGAAAATGCATCAAGAGGGAGCCGGGGGTTCGATTCCTCCCGACGGCATATCAGGTTTTCGCTCCTCTTTTTCTTTCTGTTTGTTCCGTCCCCGGTTTTCGCTCACCCAGCTATTCAGCAATTCAAATGCACAAGACAGCCGTCGTGGACCATGGCGATCGCCCTCTGCCTATGGGTGGCGCTGGATAATGCACCAAGAGGGAGCCGGGGCCCGATTCCTCCCGACGGCATCAGGCTTCCAGCTCGTTTTTCCCCCCGTTCACCAGCTTTCACCACCTGTCGAGGTATTCAGATGCATAGGAAAGCTGTCGTGGACCGTGGCGGTCGTCCTTTACCCATGGCATTTCGGCATACAGATACGGGGAAGTCGGAGGTTCGATTCCTCCCGACGGCATTTTAGATTTGCATCTAGTTTTTTCCCCCTCATTCACCAGCTCTCTCACCCACTTATCGAGGTATTCAGATGCATAAGAAAGCCGTCGTGGACTGTGGCGGTCATCCTCTACTTATGGGCAGAGAGGTCAACGCGTTGAGAGGGAGCCGGAGGTTCGATTCCTCCCGACGGCATATTCGGATTCTTCATTTGTTTTGCTGCGTTGCCCACTCATTCAACAACCAGGAGTGAATGGTTGTTTGAATTGCCTCATTCACTCACCGCTCACCCGCCCACTCAGTCCACAATGAACGAACTAAGCTGCAATGCTACCTCCTAGCGGCATAACAGCAGTGAATTTGGCGCTATAATACACAATACACGATACGTAGAGTAGCCAATACATGATGCGTAGAGTACAGAGTACAGAGTCCAGCAAGCGAGCGTCAGGGAGTAGTAGTGTAGCACAAGTCCAACTTGAGTTACAAAGTCTGTCCATTTTGCGTCCACCTCTCCATTATGCAACATCATAATGTCCAAACCCCTACGCGCCGCCCATCATCCGCCTCCCCGCCTCCACGCGCGCAGGGTCGCGCCGCACCTTCCCCGCCAACACCGTCGCCTCCCCGCGGAGCGTGCGCAGCAGCGACGTGCGGCGGCCCGGCGTCGTCGTCGGTGCCGGTGCCGGGGCGGCTGGGAGGGGTTTCCCCGCTTCGCTTGCGGACGGGGAGTTCGAATTCGCATTCGCAGCGGAATCGAGGCTCCCGCGCGCGACGAACGCCGAGGGCGGGGGGAACGCGGACGGCGGGGGCGCGCCGTCGAGGCTCGCGCGGCCGCGGCCGCGCACGCTGCGGGAGGCCCAGCGCACGAAGCCCTTGGCGCCGCCGGATTTGGGGGAGGATGGGGAGGTGGGGGAGGAGGCGGGGGAGGAGGGCGCGGTGCTGAGGGTGCTGGCGCTCAGAGGCGTGCTGGCGTCGGATGCTGAGCCGGAGCTGGAGCCGGTCGACGCGGAGGCGGGGGAGGCGATGGGTGGGGCGGGGGCGGCGTGAGGAGGAGAGGCGGAGGCAGAGGGGGCGAGGGCGGGCGCAGCGCCGGGGAGGGGCACGACGCCTGCGTCGACGAGCTGCGTGCGGTGGCGCTCCTCTGCTGGGGGCGTGTCGGGGACGGCGGTGTTGGACGCGCCGGGCATTGGAGGACCGGTTGGCGTTGAGGTTCCGGATTCGGAGGGAGTGGGCGTGGGGATGTTGCGCGAGGAGCCGGAGCCCGCGTATGCGTGCGTGCTGAAATCGCTCGCGGTGGTGCCGTCGGTGCGAAGCGGTTCACGCGGGTACGGGGTGTGCACGCCGTGGGTGTTGTTGGATGAGGACGAGGTGGAGGAGTCCGAGGCGTGATTTGAGGCAGGGTCGGATGAGGTAGGGACAGGCGCTAGATAGAAGGTGGTTGGTTAGTCAATGTTGCTGAAGATTGACGGGGAAAGAGAATATTTCGAGATACCGAAATCAAGCGGAAAAAAAGTCGGAATCGAAGACGACACTCACGGAAATAAGAAGCCACATCTTGAGGCAATTCGACTGGGGATGGGGATGCGTCCGCGGCTGGAAAGATAATGGTCAGTATGAATATTCGTCGATGATGGGATCCAAAAATAAATTGTGGAGCGGGGCAGATGACGACGTAGAAGCGAAGAATGCCACTCACGAAGATACGAAGCCACGCCAGCAGGAAGATAGGCCTTCGCCTTCGCAATAGGTGCAGGAACCGCAGGAATATACTTCTTCGCGGCAGCCAACAAGCCAGGGGCATCGTTCTGTTCCCACTTGTTGGTGGAAAAGACGACGCTGTTCCGCGGATACCCGCCGGGAACCTGAGGCCCAGGCGTCGAAGGCATGGATGCCAGCGGCGGGGCTCTGGGCGGGCGCGCAGTTGGCACGGGTGTATCGAGGGCGGACATTTACGGGGGGATGAGCGACGTACGTGGGGAGGGAGAGTTGTTAATGAACGACGTATTCTTGGAGACTTTTATACGCAGCAATAAGCGACTCCAACGAGGCCTGGACTATGACGCGTGTGGCAACTCAACCATGCAACCATGGTGATGCCACAACAGCCGCAAATACCGGCGATCAACCCGGCTTCCTTGAGTCGGCTCTGGCCAGGCATCCTTCCGTTTCATGTTCAGGTTCACTTGCAGCGCAAATCAATCCATATTTCGACGGAAAAAAATCGAGATAGTAACCATCCAGAGGAAAAAGAGCACCCCAGACGTATGCACCTGCCCCGGATCGAACGGGGTCCCTCCGCAAGAAATGGTTTGCTGCCCACCATGTGCAGATGCACCCTAATGTGCTACAGGCGCTTCAATACCCTCAATTCGTCTTAGCCTTTGCGCGATCAATTTTCTAGCGCATTCAGTGCAACTCATAGCTGTACATGGTCCACCGTTTTCCCAACCGAATTTGTTCTTCGTACCTGGCCTCTCACCGCTGCCTCCCTCCATCCCCTCTCTTCATCGACCAATCAACTCAGATTCGCGAGCCCATGGACCAAAAAAAATGACGGGAAGCACCTGACTCCGAATCGAACGGGGACCGCCTGCAGCATCTCAGTAATTCTCTATAATGCTCCGCAGATGCACACCATGTGCTATCAGGTGCTGTCCTAACTCCGTTTTGCCCTCGATTATCCACCCTTCATTTTTATCAGACGTTTGGCCTATATTTATCTTGCACTCAAGTGGACAATTAACGTTGTTTCCTCACTGCAGGCTGTGTCGAGGATCTCGTTATTGCGTTCCAGCTAGTAAGTACGAGCGTGACAAAAAGAGCGAAAACAAAGCGAAAAAAAAAGGTTCACCAGAACATCAAGCTATTATTCACCTGGCCCCGAGTCGAACGGGGACCCTCTGCAGTATTCAGGAAGAAGATAATGTTTAGCAAATGCACACCATATGCTACCAGGTGCTGTACTACCTCTGTCTCGCCCTCGATTATTCACCCATAATCTTATCAGTTCTTCCGCCCATATCTTCCTTCACACAGATGTTGGCGCGGTGAAGGATTGGATAATTTAATCACTTTGCCTTCTGCCTCGCTCTGTCCTCACTGCAGGCGGTGTTAACGGTCTCTCTATCGCGGGCCCAGTGCTTCCTTGACAAAAGGAGCGAAAACAAAGTGGCAAAAAAAGTTCATCGAACCATCAAGGATTCACCCGACCCCGAGTCGAACGGGGACCGTCTGCAGTATGCTGGACGAATATATTATATAATGTTTAGCAGATGCACACCATGTGCTACCCGGTGCGGTACCACCTCCGTCTCGTTCTCGACTATCCACCCTTAATCTGAATCGTATCAGTTGTTCCGCCCATATCTTCCCTCGCACACAGATATTGACGCGGTGAAGGCTTGGACACTTAACGCTCTTTCCTCACTGCAGGAGGTGGTAAGTACTTTGTTATCGTGGACGAAGCCAGTGCTTCCTTGACAGAACAAAGCGAAAAAAACAAGGCTCATCATCCATCAAGCATTCACCTGACCCCGAGTCGAACGGGGACCGTCTACAGTATTCTGGACGAATATCATGATAATGTTTAGCAGATGCACACCATGTGCTACCAGGTGCTGTACCACCTCTGTCTTGCCCTCGATTATCCACCCTCAATCAGAACCGTATCAGTTGTTCATCCCGTATCTTCCGTCGCACAGATATTGGCGCGGTGAAGACTTGGATGAGTCATTCATCTTAACTTCTGCCTCGCTCAGTCCTCACTGCAGGCGGTGTTAAGGGTTTCGTTATCGCGGGGGAGCTAGTGCTTCCTGACAAAAGGAGCGAAAAAAACAAGGCTCATCATCCATCAAGCATTCACCTGACCCCGAGTCGAACGGGGACCGTCTGCAGTATTCTGGACGAATATCATGACAATGTTTAGCAGATACACACTATGTGCTACCAGGTGCTGTACTACCTCTGTCTCGCTCTCGATTATCCACCCTGAATCAGAACCGTATCAGTTGTTCAGCCTATATTTTCCGTCGCAGAGATGGTGGCGCGGCGAAGGATTGGATAATTTAGTCATTCTGCCTTCTGCCTCGCTCTTTCCTCACTGCAGGATGTGTGAAGAATCTCGTTATCGCAGGCGAAGCCAGTGATTCCTTGACAAAAGGAGCGAAAACAAAGTTTAAAAAAAAGTTCATCCCGCCATCAATTATTCACCTGACCCCGAGTCGAACGGGGACCCCCTGCAGTATTCTGGAAGAAGATAATGTTTAGCAGATGCACACCATGTGCTACCAGGTGCTGTACCACCTCCATCTCGCCCTCGATTATCCACCCTTAATCTGAACCGTATCAGTCGTTCAGCCCATATTTTCCCTCGCACACAGATGTTGGCGCGGTGGAGGATTGGATAATTTAATCATTCTGCCTTCTGTCTCGCTTTTTCCTCATTGCAGGCAGTGTGAAGAATCATCTCGTTATCGCGGGTCAAAGCT